TTACCTTAGATAAACACCATAACAATAGTAGACGATAGATTGACGTTTGGTCTCTGTGGGATCGATAATCTTTTATATTACTCTGACGTTATTTGTGCACTTGCGAAACACGTCATCACAAGTTCAAACGCTCCCACGACGAGAGTGTCGGACTCAGCTTCATCGTCGATATGAAGGACGCCCTCAATCCTTATAGACATTTTACCTAAATAGTAGAGGAAAATGGTTAATTCAAATTTCAAGATCAAATCCACCCTTATACCGCAAATCAAGTGAAAGGGCGAAGTGAGGGACGAGGAGCCTCTTGACAGATCCTCCCCAACGCAGAGTAGCAAACCCCCTCCTCAACGGAGACTCATCCACGAAGAAACTCCCGTCGACCCTCATCGACAGTGATACTCCTCGCATGAGAAGACCCCAGTAAACACGGGGAAACTCCTCGGCAAAGACCTCCTCGCAAAGTTCGCACACTTAGGGGGAAAGGCACCCCGAGACCCTCATCATAAGTCCTCGATACCTTCACCAGAAACTTCATTAAGCTTCCAGAATCCTCATAAACTTCTCGGCGTCTTGCCAGAAACTTCATGAGCTTGGCCGAAAACTTCATGAACATGGCCGGAAACTTCATGAGTCTGACCGGAAAATTCATAGCCCTGCCGGAAACTTCATGGAAGTTGTCAGAAAATTCATGCTTTCTCCATAACTATACGAGCCCTCAGAGAAGTCATCCTAAAATCTATAAAAAAAAATGAAAAAGAAAACATAAACTTACTTGAAGGAAGAAGATCTGAGCGACGAAGAAAGGCTGACGGTGGACGCAGTCTAGGGAGTGGAGAGAGCTTGGAGAGACTTGGAAGAAATTCTAACTGAAATAAAGAGGAAGTGAAAATGAAGGAGACTTTTCCAATATTTATAATCCTAGCACGGGAAGCGAGGCATCACTAGGAACTCAAGTGCCCCTACCCCTATCCGCCATAGGCATTGATTACTCGTGACACGTGGCCTTAGGAGACACCACATGTGTCCTCTCAGCTCTCCCTCGTGCTCGAGGACCAGGCGTTCCCGTTCCTTCCCATCTTCGTCACTTAGTCGACCAGAACTCCCAACGAGGACATATCTAGGGGAGCCAAGAAGAAAAGAGACAGGATTGCACGGAAAACCCTCCCCGCGAGCTCCTGTCTAGTCGAGAGAGTTCCTTCAGCGGACCACGCACTTTGTCCCCGAGTCCAGTTTTTCGGACACACACGACACTCCTCTGAATAGGTCCTTGACGTTTGAACTGACTCCTAAGTCATTACTCCTCTACTTTGGAGCAACGACTTGGGGTGCTCCTGTTTTGGATTGGGTCAGAGGATGACCCACCGTCGGGCACGGTCCAACTCAGCTCTCCGTCGGGGAGGGTCCAATGAAGGCCCAATCCTTTAACGCCCACAGGGAGCTCTCACACGTTTTCCTTATGTTCTCCACGTGCCTCCCACATGGGGACGCGTCTTCATGCAACTGCTCACTTCCGAAAGAGATGATCAGTCCACCTTCCGAAGATCATGGGGCAAAGTACCCAAGGCGAAGACCACGTGCTGGTCTTTCTACACCACGTAAGCCCTGACAGTTACTCGTATTGGGCCTTGCAATCCAACCCAGTGCAAAGTAACCGTTGGTCCAACACTGGAAGCACATTATAAATACTCTCTTTTACTAGAGGGTTCGAGTATTATATTTTTTACACGCCTTTTCGTACTTGCTCTCGTTACTTCATCTTTTACTTTAGTATTGGAATACCTTACAGGTACCTCCCATTCTCTTTTTTTATCACCGATGAATATAAGAGCTCATGATGTAGTACTGACTGCTGATATTTTTTAATTCGGCAAGATCAAATAGTATTACTATTTATATAGTTTAATTATTACAGTATTTGATTTGGTTATATAAATATATATATATATATATATATATATATATATATATATATATATATATATATATATATATATATATATATATATATATATATATATATATATATATATATATATATATATATATATATATATATATATATATATTTTTAAAACAAGAAGAAAAACAAAATGAAAATGGAAAGTAGCGATGATGATGAAATTGGGTCCGGTGGAAGAGATAAATCTTCTGATTGGGCTAGTCGAAGAATAGTCTTTGGAGCCAGAGAAAAAAGGTTATATTATATTTAGTTATTTTGATAAAATACTATTTTTTCTTTACAAAAGACTTATTGTGTTTCTTATCATACTATAGATGAGATCAATGAAACATGAACGTGGTGGAGGAGAAGCTCTTCGTCTTAGGTAATAATTTATTATTATTATTATTATATAATGTGTATGAAGGCACCTTACAAGGCAGAGGTTAGATGTTTTAAGGAGGAACTGGTATAGGGAGATGCCGAACCGCAGACGAAAAGGAAATCAGAAAGGAAAAAAGAAGTTTTGATGCATAGGTTTATATGTTGGTGTCTTTAGCTGCAAAATATAGATATTGTGTTTGATCTGTTATGGTTCTGCGTCAGGAGTCTTTGATTGTCATGGTTTGTAGTAGTACTTTCTTTTGTTTTTTTTCTTAGTGTTTGTACATTGGTTGTATAATGTTGGCAACGTAGATTCGATGGTTTGTTATTTATCATATATCATTTATTTATGTTAAATTTTTTTAATAATTATGCAGCTGCTTTATAAACAAGCTGATGGTTGGAAAATTGAGAGTAGAAGGGTGCATGTGGCTGTTGAACGAGGACTTTTTCAAATTGGCGACGCCGCCTTCTAGGTGGTGGGATAGGTATTACTAGAGTCGAGTTGGGGGCGAAGAAGTTAATTAGCGACATTCAATTTGTTCATTTTCTCAAATTATTATTGGTTTATGATGTTTTGATGTTGCGTTGACTTCATTCAATACTGATTTTAAATTTGAAGTAGAATTATAATTAAATTTGAAAACTGAAAACATCAACTATGATGACCTTATTCTATGATGTGTATATTTAGTGTTGGAACTGACCAATAACTTACGAAATTTGCAACAATTAAATCCTCACCTGGGTGGTGGACAACGCAATTGTATGAACTTTAGAAATGGCCGATAAACTTTAGAAATGGTAAATGAATTCCAAACAACAAAGAACTATTTAACACATATCTAGCTATCTCCTCTCTCTCCCCCTCTACTCCGAATTCCAAAGCATTAAAACTGATTGAAATTGAAACATTTATATATCAAGATTTGTTTGCATTTATCATTTTTTGGTTCATGATGGATTAGATTTGCTCAACTTATGAGTTGAACTGTGAATTAAATTGTCATATACTTAATATGTCTTGGTTGAATGTTGTGTAATTAATTTGTTGGACGCATCTCTCTCACCTTGAAGAAAAATTCTGACTAGTATTTAATTATATTCAGGGATGTGTCTCGTTCAATTTTAACTCGTTTATTGATTTTTAATATTCAATAGGATTGTCGATCATTCTACCGTATCTACACAATAAAGAGGGAAGAATTGTGGTCTCCCAACATTAAATTTTATATTAATATGGAATATTTTGAAACAAGTTTGATTGTTGTTGGCCAAAATCATTTTAGGGAGCGAAAGAGCAATCATGCGAACTATCTAGCGATAAGGCTAGGGATCATGACCATAGAAAGGAGAGGGACCACAGAGACAAGGACCGGGATAGGAATGGGGAAAGAAGCAGAGGTAAGGATAGGAAAAGGGATCGCGGACACGACTGGGAAAGGAATTGTGGTCGGGAATGTGATTGTGATTTAGAGAGGGATCATGAACGGGATGTAGAACCTGATTGTTATCGCAAAAAAGATAAGGATTATGAAGTTGGAGAAACTGACCAGGGACAATCCCATGACAGGGGAAGTGATTATGATCATGTTGAATCTAAACATGAGAAGTAATTCCATAGTTAAAGAGGGACTATGAACCTTGGGGGGGGGGGGGGGGGGGGGGGGGGGGGGTACAATCAACCTGGGCATGGACATAGATAGATATGCAGATCCTGAACATGATCTTGATCATTATGAGCATTAGAGAGGACGGGGGCAGTATAATAAAGGAGATGCCCATGGTGATTACAATCAACCTCTTAGAAACTATGATATGGACCGTGATTATCATCGCTCAGAGAGATCCCATTCTTGAGAATATGATTACTAGAAACTTGAGCACCATACTTCTCAACTTCACTAGTAAGAATGGAAGGGGTTCCATAACCACTATTTTGGTACAAATTCTTTTTGCAAATGTGAAAAGTAAGCAATTGTATGGGGTATCCAATTGTATTTTCAACACAATTTACTTTTATAGATTCTCTAACCAATATTTTGGAACACTAGTTAGTAAAACCCTTGTTTATTTAAGAGTTAAAATACTCTAATTTTTTATTTTTATGATTTAATCAGTATTTATTGAGCAACAATTTTCTTTTCTTTTTATGTGTTTAGTGTTACAAATAATACAAACATTCACCAACAAAATACAATAGAAACAAGTTTACTAGTATGCGGATAAAAAATTCTAATTATGATATTTCAAACAAAATGAAATCAGCTCAACAGTGTGACCCAATTTCTAAATGGTCATTCTCTAAATTAAATTACAAAACAAAGTACAAATGTGAGTCTAAAGAACAGCTACCAATAAAACGTAAAGATACTGCAGAATAAGGGGAAATTACAACCCTCAAGCCAACATTTATTTTCAATGAAAATTCAATGATGAATGACATTGACATATTAAACCATAAGAAACATTTAAACTTATTCCTTCCAAAACAAATAATACCTCTTGTAAAAGGTTAAAAACCAGAAGAAAAAAGATTATATATAGCTGAAAGAAAGATTGCCACTTAAGCTTACTATTATACTAATACTGTTCTTTTGCCTCATGTATAAGGTTTAAAACCAGAAACAAGTGTTTATAGTCGAAATATAGATAGCCACTTAAGCTTTTACTATTATTAATTGGAACTCAACTTTGCCTCTGATCTATCGGATGGACAAGCTACGCAGTCGGTGCAAGCAATAGAAGGAGACAACTTGGGTGAGAGATTAATCCGTAATGTCTGATGCTTCTCCTCGTTCCCAGGTACGTGGAGGAGCGCGTCCATCATTAAAATTTCCCAATCACGAGGAAGGAAAAAAGAAGACCAAGAGTCATCTGTTTCAAAGAAACCATACAAATAATCAATGTTATTAGCTACTATCAAACTGACCTCACCTCAGTGTCCCCAACTGTCCAAACAATACGTCAAAGCAAGCAACTAGATTTATATAGCATCATGGTACTAATAATTAGTTAATTATAGATAGATCAAGAGTTTGGAAAAGCGTTGGCATTCAAATTGCTAACCTCCATTGCGGACTGCCTTCAGCTGTAAGACCCCTGAGCCTAGGGGTCCAGAAACGGGAAATGAGCAAGATACGGATTGCCTCTTGTGAGCCACTGCAAGAGATGCATTGTACCATGAACCTTTAATAATTGGTTCTCCAATGGCATCTATTATTGCCTGGTTCTTGCTTGCATCCTCCATGGCCTTGCTGCAAATTTTACAGGAAAAATTTTTAGGAGCTGCCATAGGGAACACGTAGATAACACTCAGTTTTAAGGACTGAGTAAACCTCCTCAAGCAGAGAAAAAGATAAGAGAGAATGCAAATACTGATTTCATAAATAGCAAAATATTGCAAGTTTATTTTAACCGAATCTATCACTAGATTTCACAGCTCAGCATATCCTAACAATCATGCTGACTCATCAACCTTTTAGAACTTAAAAGGAATAAAACAAGCATCATTTGTAAAGCACATGGTCGTGAAACTTGGAGGGGATTCTTCTGTTTCTAATGGGCCTGTTGAGTTTCTCCTTGCTGCTGTCCTCTTCATGGCCCAAGCCCGTATCCCACATTTTTCAATTTTGAAATATAAAGAGCAGTAGTTGAGAAGATCCTTTTTTATAAGTATTAGTAATAGGATTTCATAAAAAAAATGTCTTCGAAATACTTACTATCCAATCTGTACTGAGAAAAAAATGAATGCAGATAGAAAATATAATAATATTCAATTGGAGGGATGATAAAAGAGAATTAGAAAATGGAGATATACCAAGGCCACCTAGGGGTAATTATAATTGACAAGAAACAAATTACAAGGATGCTATAATCGTAATGCTGGAAGTTTGTATAAAATGACAAGGAGAAATGTCTTAAGGCCCCTTTAGTACAAAAAAATATTTCCTATTATCTTTTATGTTTTCTTTAATTACAAAGATGCCACGTTGTTTTCACTTAATTTCCTATTTTTAAAGTTTTCTATGGGAAATTGTGAAAGAAAAGGAACGTTACAATTTCTTATACAAATCATTGAAAACAAAACCAAAGTGAAAGCCAAGTGATATTCTTGTAATTATTAGTGAAAGTAGAAAATGAAAACAAAATTTAGAATTATTCTTAGCCTTCCAGGTCTGATTAGCATGCACCGCTTTTTTTCCTATTGGGTGAAAATTAAAAAGCTATGAAGTAAATTAAACGAAAGATAACTACAAGCTTGGGTGCTGAACTTATCAAATTTATTTTGCTCTGGATATAACCATCATTACTATTATCTATTGTCGTGTAGAATGAGATGAGAGAATGTTCAACTTTCAGCTTAAACCAAAAAAGTTTAGCATTCTTGAAAAACTTCTACTCCCCAAAGACAATAGATATGGGATAGGAAATATGTGAACAATGTACGTAAAATTGTAAGGTCTATTCAGGGCTTATTATTCTAAAGTCTAAATCACAGCATGTCAAAAGCTAAGACACAGTTCTTAAGAGTTTGTCATGCATGCCAAATGCACTCCTGTGTGAGATTAATGTAAGAATAACACATAAAACTTGATATTTACCTGCTACAACCATGATAGATAGAAAGGTCATCAAGAGCACTCAGAGCAACACCACCAGTAATAGTAATCAAAACAAACGACACTGCCTTACGTGCGAAATATTTACCCTGTTTTTCATCCGCATCCTTCACGGCACTGCAATTATTTAAACTTGGTAGTTACAACCATGGACCATTCATATTATGATTTCAATTTCAACAAAGTAATGGTAAAGAGTACTTTTATGTTTTTCATTTTTGAACATTTTCTGCTGAACTTGAAGAATAAGTATTTTACCAATTTTGTGTTAGGACCCAAATTTACTAAATTATCAATCAGTTAATTTACCCTGATTAATGCAAATGGTAAACTTTCCTAACTAGAATCACAGAATCCGATCATTTATGGAGCTGTGAAGCTTGACATTTCAAAGTTAAAAGTGAAACAGTAGAATGAAATACTCTTGCATAGGTTATAACTACCACGAATGTAATAATAATCTTATCAGTATAGCAGCGAACTTGTGTGCAGTGAGTGGCCAGAGACTTCCATAGCACTGCACTCTTCAATACAGCAGTCACAGCTACTATCATGGAAAGTTATGGTTCCCGTACTTCATATCAGGAAAAGTCCATATTTACCCTTTTGTGAGTTATCAAACCTATTCTCTATTGGTATCTTCCTCATCTTCCCTTCTAGAAGTAATATTAAGTTTATTTTCTAGGACAATGACCACAAACTGTAAACACTTTCACTTCCACCAAAAGGACCCAATGCACACCAGTATCTTATACAGCCAACTTTGGTGATTTCTCACAAGCTCGTCGCTCCAAACTTCATAAACACGCCTGTATTCTGTTGTTTGATGTCTAAGTCTCTACAAATTATTAAACTCAGCTATCCAACGGGATTCATAACTATTCTTGTCCTATTTTTGTAGTATGTTTCATGATATAGATTTTTTTTTTTAAAATTCAAAAGGTTACATGAAATCAGTGTTGTCAACCACAAAATTGCAGAAATTAGTAGTTTGATTAAATTATTCACAGAATTGCTCTGAGTTTCAACATGCAAACCCTAGCAAATTGAAAGAAAGATGTGCCCTGAACTACTAATTGAACATATTCGACTCAATTTCATCCCACATAAACCAATCCAAATATGATGAAAGCAATAAATTTTTTATTATTTTCAACTCTAGGCAATCCTAACAATTTGCAACCTTGAAGAACATACATGTAAATTAACCTCTAATAGAATCACAAAAGAGAAAAATATCAGGAATTTTGAACATTAAAGGAATTTACAAGAAGCAAAATATAACTTACCTGGAAATTTTAGGTTTAGGGGACAGTTTAAGGAAGGAGGTTAGTCTCTTGGCCAACATGATGGATCAACCAACAAATTTCGATTCCGTGAATCGCCGAAACGAACTAATCAGAAATTGCGATGTTATGTTCTATTGCGTATGAATCAGAAAATTAGAAAATAAAATGGAGGGAGATGAAGAAGAATTAATATATAAAAACCCTAAATCACCGAGAAAGAGGTAGTGCAAGTGCAATTTTCACTCAGCAGCTACAACACTTGTGCTCTCGTATTTTGTTCTTCTTTACAGATTTTAAATCACGCACAAGAGAAAAACCTTGGCGGTCACTGATGAAACGCTGAAGTTGATACACGCAGTGTTTTAGAATAAACCAGACCCGAAGGTCCGACCCGTCGACCGGTCACCGAGCACTTGAATAGTTCGGTCAAGTTTTCAGATTGGATGTGTAGTTGAAGAATGCCGGTCCGCCCGGTATGACGCCATAAAACCGGTTCGATCGTTACGACTCTAAACCGGACGAACAAGAGTAGGAGATTATTATAAAATAAAAAGTAAGTCATAATGAAGAAAAAAGATACATGGATCAAGAAACATCATCAACATATCACATAGGAGTAATATCCAATAGCAAAATTATTGAACATAACCTTCACTTAACTAAGTGTTTGATGTTATCAACAAAGTAAAAAGAAGTTAAGCAATTAGTACATCTCTTATTCATAGGTAAAAATATGGATTATTTAATAATCTAACCGTCAGAGTTAATTAATAATACAAGAGAATTTATGTTTCGGCCGCCTAGTCTAATAATGTAACAGAAAGACTATAGGCGAATACTCACGATACATATAAATGTTCAGTATGTAAGTTCTTATTAATCAATAAAGGTACGTGATTTTAAACTCTTATGCATCATACACTATCTAAATTAATAAGACAGTTCATTATTGTTAGTAGAAATGGCAAATAAACCCGGACCCACCTGCATCCGTCTGGATCTGTCTCGAAATTAACGAGAAAAATCCGATTTAATTGGGTGCGGGTGCGGAGGAAAACTAGTTCTTAACTACAGATACGGGTGCGGGGAGACACTAAGACCCGTCTGCATCCGCCTCTGTCCTCGAATAATACATTTTAGTTTAATTTTCTTATTTTACTTATTTTAATATTCATTTATTAATTACATTTTTAATTAAATTATTAATATTATTATTGCAATTAAAATAACTAAATTAATTAAGTTAATATTTATTTACTAATTAAAATTTTAATTAAATAATTAATTAATTTATTAAAATAATTAATTTTTTAATTAAATTATTAATTTTTATTGCAATTTAAAAAAATTAATTCTTTTGCGGGTGCACCCGTTCTCCACTAGGAGCAGGTCTGAACAGTAAATTTTTACCCCTGATTGGGTTTAGGGGCGGGGGCAGGTGTGTTACATGGAGGCGGGTGCAGGTGCGAGTATAGTTAAACCTACCCCGTTGCCATCCCTAATTGTTAGTTTGGTAATTTTTGACACTGCACCGAAACCAATTGTTTCGGAAGATTCTCAAAAACAAATCCACAAGATTATGATCACTCCCTCATCAAAACATGTTCAGAATCTTGAAAAAGTTTGCACAAATTAACACTTCGACATGGAAATGTGGTATAAAAGTGTTGAGTTCGACACACACATCAGATGTTAAGGACTTAGCGTGTTTTTTAATCTATAGGTCAGCTAAACTAGGGATGCTTCGACAATACTATCGAAATCAACCAGAGATTCTCAACAGAGGCAATTAGTAGGTTTAAAGGCAGTTAGTTATAAGCATGAGGGATGGTTTTCAGCAGTTCAAACGTTGAAGACGCGTGGAAGCAAATTAGAATATTATATGTGCGGGGATAAGTGTTGATGTCTACGAAGATAACCGTTATTGACGGTTAATATTATAATAGTATATAAGTCAAGTTCAGTTTATGCAATAGAGGATGTCAGTTTTACTTATTCACTATAGAACTAAAGTATCCAAGTAACATGGAGAAATAATTTGTAAGAAGATGTATGAGTTTGCGTCATTTCTTTTATTTCTTTAAGTCTTTCATATCAAAACATTTACTTTAATGACATTTATTATGTTTTATGTTTACTTCCTTCTTCCAAACAATTCTATATTATTTCAATTAGAGTTTATGTTCAGTTTTTCGATATTCAAACATCTAAGTTCCAATCACAAACACTTTTCATTGTACTTTTCTACACAAATTGTCCTTAGGATTTTTTCCGAGTTTAATCCATTAAGTGAACTAAAGCTTGTAATTTGATTTACTAAAAATACCACTAAATAAATTAGAGCACCCGATTGGATCATTTTATGCAAGAAATTTTAACTTCTGCAGAAAATAGCTGTGTCTTTTATTATTCATTTTGTTCTTCATATATGAAATGTCTTGAGTTGTCGAGTGTTTATGCGTTTGAGGAGTGGTAAGATTCTTGCTGAGATGACTCGTACAATGTTAAAAAATCCTCCCCCTCCCTAAAATATTGCTCTAAACGTAGAACAACAACCACTTAAACTAATGGTTGGTAATGCAGGAACTTCAATAATCATTTTAGTAACCCCCTTTTGTCATTAGCCAAATATTAATTTCGATGATATCATCCGAAGTGGCGATTTCCCTACCACCTCGAACGGGTATTCCAACTATCCCCGTAACGCCCCAAACTACTTTCAGGATTGCAAACCAACCCCACAAACCAATACGAGTCTTTTTAACATGTTTTATCCTTACTTACACAATTTCTGAGAAACTTCCCAAAAAGTCACCCATCCAAATACTACTCTAAGTTAAATCTCTTTACCTATGGAGTTCTTATTTGTTAGTCTACCCCAAAAAAAGATGCATCTTGTTGGTATAGGTAGATTAATCCTTATAAGCTTTTCTTTAACCATGCAATATCATTCATGCACAGCCTCAAGATCCCTTTCATTCTGATGTGAATTTTGTGGCCACTCTCTGTCCTCTTCGGCCTCAAGTGTTACATCCACTCTCCGCCCTCTTCGGCCTCAGGTTTTAAATGCCCACCAGCTTTCTTTTGGTTTATCCCTAACCACATCGTACTTGGAGATATTTGGCTCTGATACCATTTATAACGCCCAAACTACTAAGGATTGCCAACTGACTCCGCAAACCAGCACAGGTCTTTTTCAGCATGATTTGTCCTCACTCACACGCTTTCTGAGAAACTTCCTAGAAAGCCACTCATCCAAATATTACTCCAAGTCAAACCTCTTTAACTATGGAGTTCTTATTTGTTAGTCTAGCAAAAATAAGATGCATCTTGTTGGTATAGGTAGTACAAATTAATCCTTATAAACCTTCCTTCAACCATGCAATCCCATTCATGTACAACCTCAGGATCCCTCTCATTCCGATGTGAATTCGGTGACCACTCTCTATCCTCTTTGACCTCAAGTGTTACATCCACTCTCCGCCTATTTAAGCTTCGGGTGTTACAACTCCCAGTGTCACACAAGCAATAATGGGAGACCTTAGGCCTTCTTTCATCTCAAGCTTTATGTTACCCCCTGGTAGCACGGAATATGCTTATGACATATCAATTGTGATGATGGACGGCCTACAAACTAATGAAGTGACATATGCAGATAATGCAATATCTAATATGTCACCTATTAATTCATACTTAGTCCCAGGATCCGCTATAAGAAATCATAGTCAAATGGCACAACCACAAGGAGGATTGGAATATACCCCTTCAGTTATGCCATCCTTGGCCACTAGTTCCCTCCGGTCTATGAGACAACAAATGGTTGAGAGTAACCATGATATTGTTAATATGCTTACACGGAAAATTGGCACCGCATTCAATCCTTTTATTCAAAACACTAACCATAGTTGCCAATAAATGACACATTAAATGAGTTGAATTGATGATTTCTTTGGTGCTCCCGAAGATCCTATTCGACTAATCCCTCGTATCCAAAATATTAGCCAATTCAAAACCTAGGAGTGACAAACAATGAAGGGATTCTTAATAATCAAGTCACTACTACAAAAAACACATTTAATCTCGGACGCAAATTTGATTTAACCTTAGTTATAGAGGCGGGGTAACAAAGGGCGTCATGAAAACTTTCCATTATACCCCTCAGTTTTAGAATAACCAAGGGGATAGTTGAAATGTTCATTGGTTCGATCCCCAAAAATAGCTTTTTTATATTTTTAAAGCTAGCGCCACATACCTCTGGCTTTATGGCCAAACCTGAGGAGAAAGATAAATTCTTTTTTTTTTAAATACTCGTTACATTGTTTACACAAAATATTAATAAATTAATTTGTTTACAAACTACATTGTTTATACAAAATATTACATTGTTTACACAAAATATTAAAGTAAAAATATATAACAAATTTTTAATCTGATTCATCATCATCGATGTTGGTGAAGAACAAATGTTGGATATCATAGGGAAGAACAAATGATGGGTATCCTCGTTTCATTAATCTTGGAGAAGTTCAAATGTTGGATGCAATATATTTTCTATGACTTTTGCATTCATTTATTTCTGATATAAAACAAAAGAATGTTAGATAAAGAAAATAAATATCCAGTTATATGATTATTTAAGAATACAAACTTTGAACTCGAATAATTTTCTTCTCTTGCAATCCATCCTAGAGAACTTTTCCTAAATAAAATAAATGTTTCTTTAACATTTAAAGTTTTCATGTCAAATATTTCATTATCAATTTTCAATACAGCAGTCACAGCTACTGTAACGCCCCGATTTTGATTATCGCATTTTGTGGAGTATTTTATTGGATTTGAGTAATATTTGTGTTATTCGTGGAATTAATTTGTGAATATGGTATATTCTGATATTTTACCGTTTCGGAGAATTTTTGGGTAAAATTTAGAATGGAGGGTATTTTGGTCATTTGACAACTAATGAATGAGAAAAAGAAATATAAAGGATAGAAATAGAAAGAAAAGGAAAAAGAGTAGTAAGGAAAAGAAAAAGGAAAGAAAAGGAGAAAGAAGGAAAAGG